AGTCATTAAAATTTTAAATTGCTACATTGTTTGTATTTATATCATTCAAAAATATAGTAGAGTTTTGTCTACTTTTCTCTATTTCAAATTTCCTGCAACGAGAATGAAAGTAGGAAATACATTTTTGACTTTACAATTTATTATATATTCTATATAAAAAATGTTAATATCAAGATTTGAATTCGGGTCTCTTCAAGTAAAGACAACAATCACAACCAATTACACTAAATAAATTTATTGTTTCTTTTTTAATACAAAACATACACGAAGTGAAAATTTGAAAATCGAAGGACTTTTCCATCATGATTACCAAGCCCACTAAGTCTACCGTATGTATTTTTATGGTGTTTGATATTACAATTTTCATAGCAGAGTTTTATGTAGTTTTCTCAATTCTATAATTACTGCTCCCTCCATAATTGTTGATAACAATGAATAGATAATTGGCAAACATGGAATAAACTAATTTTATTTTTACGTGTTGTGTCTTTGCATTTTTCATTTATATATAAATTTAGTACTTTTTTATCTGTGTTCTTATCTCTTTCTAACTTTCTCCGAAATTCCCTCCATCATGCAATAGTTTGCGCCCCTTTCACTTTACAGTACAAGGTCGCCTTTGAAAATCAATCTTCTGGTATCTCTTGGCACTAAGATTTTATTGTTGGGGATTTAAACTGGGCAAGTAGAAGATTTCAACTCCGATATCAATCCATGGCGAATAGAATGAAGTTGCAGATGGAGGATTAGAAATGGAATTTTTGGTTGAAACATACGCCTCTTAAGATTTAAGATAGAGTGGATAAAAATTTTTCAATCATAAAGAAGTGAACTCAAGATTTAGTTTGAAACTATCTATGGTTCGTGTGGGAATTTCAATGAACTTTTATACTCTATCTTTCTTGACAATCAACTAACCAATAGCATTTTACTGGAATCTTAATTATCATTATGAAAATGCAATCAATGATTTATATTCTTAAATGATGATATTTGTGTTAGACCTATATATTTTTTTCTTTATGTATCATCTCAATCGAAAGATTGTCAATAAAATTAAACGGATTGATAAACTTAAATGTAACATAAAAATATAAATATTCCGGCCAACGGACCGGATTATAAGCTAGTTTAGAAAATACATAAAACGACTCAAATAGGTTGTGCCTCAGTCAGAACATTAATTTGCTTGATCGGCTCAACAATTTAAACCGATTTATGGAAGTTGTTGAAAGGGCACAACCGAGCAGTGGTAGTATTGTAATTTGGTTCTTTACTTACGAAGAAGCCTTCCTTTGCGCTTTGGTTTTCTCTCTTGGCATTTTAACGCCCATCACTTGGCCTGGTCTCGTACAGAAAACCGAAGCCCCTGTTCTCCCCCCTCTGATTTCTCCATTTCCTCTCAATCCACCAACAAGCAGCTCGATCACCTGGATCTCTCTGGCTCTTCCGATCTGTAACAATGGTGAGCGCCTGCTTATCCATCTCCGTTTCAATTCTCGTCCACCGAAATTTGATTTGTTCGGAAAATTTGCATTTCTCGCATCGGAGCCCGGTTGATTCGGAGTGTAGCTTAGATCTGGCAGAAATCTCCTTCGATTTGACGCTTATACGCGTTATCGCATCTGTTCAATGAGATTCTTACTCTCTACTTCTACAATCGTATGCTCGTTTGGTTGCTCGGAATCCGCGCGCTGGTTTTCTACGGAATTCCCGGCGTTTCTGCTGCGGCGCTTCCAGTAGTATACTTGTTTAGCTTTTCTGCTGTTTATGTTTCGGGATCGAAATGAGATGTGGAGTTCGCGAATGGGGAAAAGATCTGGTGAGGTGCAGAGTTGAACCAGGGGGTTCTATGTGTGGCGATCAGTCCAGTGGCTTGAATGTGCGAGTTGGAGTGAATTTTGCTCTTGTTAGGGTGCTGAGAAAGTAAATGAGAGCGGTTTCGTTTTGGTTGTTTGATTTTCTGAATTGTATCACGTAGTTGATTTTTCTTCGTTATAATTTTGTTTGATTTGAAGCTAATGCCAGTCTTCCCTTTCCTTTTGACAGCCTCTCAGGCTCGAAATCAAGGTACTATGTTGCATTTTTTTGTCTTCTCTTCAATTTGGTGATTGGATCTCTTAACTCGGTTATCTTGTTGTTTATGCTGACTGTATTTGTCATTGTTGGTAGAGGAAACTTGCTCAAAGATCGGAGAGAGTGAAGTCTGTGGATCTACATCCTACAGAACCATGGTAACTTGTTTGATTTTTTTTTTCTTCTTTTCAGTGAATTTCTTTCTCGTTTGGACTTGGGATCTCATGGAGAGAAATGAACTGCACTTGGTGGTATTGAACTTTGACTATACTGAATTGTTATTGCAGGATCCTCGTCAGTTTGTATTCTGGAACTGTGTGTATTTGGAACTATCAGTCACAGGTAAGAAATTTTGACCTGCGCTTGTAGCCTTTTAGTACATAACAAAGTATATGGTTTGTAATCTCCACATGTCCTTCCACTACTTGTTGGATTCTCGGCATTATCATGTGAAAGTAAGAAGGCTTCTATGCTTTCTCAAGGATGGATTGTAGCAATTTTTCATCCCAATAGTTATGAAGGAATATTTTGGTGGATCATCTCAGTAATTTTATCCTCTGTAAGGACAGACAATCAATTCTAGTACCAGTGGCCATAGAAGAAAGTTGTTTAAGCCTTGTCCTAGTATAGGCCATCAAGTAGGATCTGTAGGGGCAAAATTTGGCTCAATTTCATCTGGGTTCCCATCTTGCATCATCCCAGTGGGTAGTTTCTTCCTTTTCTGCCTTTTCTGTGTACCAATAAAATGTTGAATCTTAATCTTACTTATATATATTTCAAAGATTAGAAGAAGAGAGTTATGCTGAAAATGAAGCATCTTGCGTTAGAATGGCATTGCAGATATTGTTTGAGTGTTTGACACATAGTGCAAACTGTCTTTTCATAATATGGGGCAGATGTTCTGTTATGTACATTGTTTTGTGTTAGCAGAAGACAAGCAAGTTTGAAGGAATAAATATTGACATGAAAAGAAATTGTTGTCCTGTTGGGATTTTCCCCCAAAATACAAAGTTACTAAAACAATTGTTGTCCTGTTGTATTCTAGGAAACTGTTCGAGTCATACCGACCCAACATACAAAGATTGTTGTCCTGTTGTATTGTTGGAAATTGTTATACTAACCTTTATATTTTGAATCAAAATCCTCCTGTTGTCTTGGAAAGTGTACGATCTTCGACCAAAAGTGTAAAGAGAAAGTTCACGACCTTTGATTTGGGTTCGGTATGACTAATCAAAATTTTCTATAAAACATTCAAGGCCATTTATTTTATTGAGCATTTGAATTTGACATCAATCTCTTTAGTATGATGACTATGCACCTTAGTAGTATGAATGTTTTTAGAGTTTTCTTTCTTCTTAGAAACCAACTTTGCTGTCTTCTAGATAGTCAGTTTTCTTGAAGGTTCATTTTGTTTTGCATTCAGCACTTTTGTTTTCTTATCTCAAGCTTTCTATGTTCTTGCAGACTATGGCAAAGTCTTTTGAAGTGACTGAATTACCAGGTAATTGAATGTTATCTGCAAAGTCCAGAGCCTTTTTTGTTTCTTTTTTTAGAATCCTTTCTTATCAATTCCACACTCTAAACATTTAGTTTTGTTATTGCAGTCAGGTCAGCCAAGTTTATACCAAGAAAGCAATGGGTTGTTGCTGGAGCAGATGATATGTTTATTCGGGTGTACAATTACAACACAATGGACAAGGTTAAAGTTTTTGAGGCACATACAGATTATATTAGGTGTGTGGCTGTGCATCCTACCCTTCCTTATGTCTTGTCATCATCTGATGATATGCTCATAAAACTATGGGATTGGGAGAAAGGCTGGGTGTGCACTCAGATATTTGAGGGACATTCCCATTATGTGATGCAAGTTACCTTTAACCCTAAAGACACCAACACTTTCGCAAGTGCATCTCTTGATCGGACCATAAAGGTAGCCAACATATTTCTCTTGGTAATTCTCAACAAATCATAATGTACACTTACTTGACAAAATTTACGTAGCTGCTCACATTTTGTTGTTGTTAGATTTGGAATCTTGGATCTCCAGACCCAAATTTTACTCTGGATGCTCATCAAAAAGGGGTCAATTGTGTTGATTACTTCACTGGTGGTGATAAACCTTATCTGATCACTGGTTCTGACGATCACACTGCTAAGGTTGGTCTAATTATGCTCATTGATTTGCTTGCTTTGGTCTTGCTTTGGTATAACCTCACTGCATGTTGCATGTGTTGCTAGGTGTGGGACTATCAAACCAAGAGTTGTGTCCAGACACTGGAGGGGCATACACATAATGTATCTGCTGTATGTTTTCACCCTGAACTACCTATAATCATCACAGGTTCCGAGGATGGTACGGTCCGCATATGGCATTCTACAACCTACAGGTCAGTGTAATTCAAAATGTTTTCAAGCAATATGCTCTCAGACTTTCTAACCTTATGGTGTACAGACTTAAAGACGTTTTCCTTTGACCTGCAGATTGGAGAACACATTGAATTACGGTCTTGAAAGAGTTTGGGCAATTGGCTATATTAAAAGTTCACGAAGGTAAATGCTCTGCTAATTTGCAATCACTGTGTAGGTCGTTGCATCACCTAATATGGCCTTCAATTTTTACGCTGGGTTCTGTTCCCCACCACTTCAACTTTAAAAGAAAGAAACGGAGTTACTCCTATGGCTCCTAGCTATTTGCTTCTTTAGATTCATGCTACTTAACAACGAGGGGTTAATGTCAATTGAGGAGCTTTTTGGAAGTTGGATTTTTCAAAAGGATGGATTTGAAATAAGTGGATTGTAAGGATAGGTAGATCCGAAAATGTTAATGTCAGGATAGCTGATTTATAAATACGTATCATCGTGTGGAGATAAAAAAATAAAAAACATTCCTTTACGCGAGAGGTTCCATTTCCATCCTAGTAAGAGTTTTGGAAGCTCCAGAGATTTCAAACACAGCCACAGTTGGTACCTGTTTTTTTGTCAGCAGAATGGTGGCTTTTGCATAATCCTTCAAGAGAGAGATCGAGGTCCATATTCCTTAATCCAAAAGACACTTTAATAACTGATATATAAACAGGTTGATAAAACCTTGCCTTTGGTTCTTCGTTGTTAAGTACAGTTCGTATTCTTCTTTGGTTGCTTCTTGCTAGGTTTTTAATGAATTTTATTTGTTGGATAGATTGTTTCCTTATGATTGTTGTCTTCTTGATTTCACCTTTAGCGAGTTGTATTATTGACAATTTGATAATCAGGATTGTTATTGGCTATGATGAGGGAACCATTATGGTCAAAATTGGTCGAGAAGAACCAGTGGCCAGTATGGACAATAGTGGAAAGATTATATGGGCCAAACACAATGAAATCCAGACTGTAAACATTAAGAGTGTGGGCGCTGATTTTGAGGTTTGGACTGACTTCATTATACATTGCCAATATATTGTCTACTGGAAGTTGATTTGCTTGGTGTGGCCATAATACTTTGTGTTTTCTTCCCCCATACCTGTCTCTTCACTAGGTTACTGATGGAGAGCGATTACCTCTGGCAGTCAAGGAGTTGGGAACATGTGATCTTTATCCACAAGTGAGTTAGGATTCATACTTGTTCCTCTGCTGTTCTTATGTAGTAAGAACTTAAGGTGCCTGTAATATCGAGATTCTGCAACTAGAGGAACGAACTTATGTTTGATCTAGTTATCTGGATTGATGCATAACTTATGAAATCAGTTATAAGAAGACATTGAAAAGCACAGCTGTCCTAACTCCTAAGCATAGGAAAAGGTTGATAAGTAGCCAGTCTTTCTCAGGTTCAATCTGTGGGAGTGGCGAAGTTATCAACCATTATTCTAACTTCACTATTTCGTAATTAATTCATTTTTCTGGCAGTGCTTGCATTCACTTATTATTTTGTACTCAATTTTCTGCAGAGCTTAAAGCACAATCCCAATGGTAGATTTGTTGTTGTTTGTGGAGATGGTGAGTATATTATATATACAGCTTTAGCATGGAGAAACAGATCATTTGGTTCTGCCTTGGAATTTGTTTGGTCTGCGGAGGGTGAATGTGCTGTCAGAGAAAGTACATCAAAGATTAAGATCTTCAGTAAAAATTTCCAGGTAAGCCCTGTTAAGTATTTCAGCTCAATTGTATGCATATTTGAATGGGGCGTCACAAGTCGCCTAATTCTGTGATTGCCATTGAAAATAATATCGACTTCCTTGGTTGACTGTCTTGTTTCTTTGGGGGATAATGTCTTCTACTTTATTTTTTATGAGTTGCTTGTTTGTGCAAGCACTGTGTCCTAGCACCCAACTATTGCATTTGTTATTGGATACAGGTCGACATTTGTTTTAGTGCCATTGCCAACTTTATTCATGCTATTATGTTACTTGTGGTGTTCTCTGTTGTAAATTTGTAACGCTTATGGGCTAGCATATATTGTGCTAGATTCCGATTTTGTGATTTCATGTGTTGAGGACATGTAAGTTCTGTGAACTAAAAAAGAGGTGCTCATTCAGGAAAAGAAGAGTGTGAGGCCAACCTTTTCAGCTGAGCGAATTTTTGGAGGCACTCTATTGGCTATGTGCGCGAATGATTTCATCTGCTTTTACGACTGGGCTGAATGCAGGCTAATTAGGAGAATCGATGTCACTGTTAAAGTAAGCAAAAGATGTTCTTCCTGGTGATTTGAGTTATACTGCCCTTTCCTTGGTGCCTGTCAGTGCTGTCACTAATGGTATTCTTTTCCTTCTTCTATGTATCAGAATCTTTATTGGGCTGACAGTGGTGATCTAGTGACTATTGCAAGTGACACGTCGTTTTACATCCTCAAATACAGTGTGAGTTGTCTTTTTTCATTTTCGTTATCCTTGGGGAAGTACATGTCACTGTGTGAAACTGAACTTCTGAATCTTTTGGTTATTGCTGCAGCGTGATGTAGTTTCATCTTATCTAGAAGGTGGAAGAGGAGTAGATGAAGAAGGTGTTGAAGAAGCCTTTGAGCTTCTACATGAAACCAACGAGCGTGTACGGACTGGACTTTGGGTGGGGGATTGTTTCATTTACAACAACTCTTCCTGGAGGCTCAATTACTGTGTTGGGGGAGAGGTACTCATCACTTCCAATTCATTTGTGGATTTAGTATTTTTCTTTTCCAAGTTTACTGCTTTTGATATTAATCATGAGTGCTGACTGCAAGTTGTTTTAGGTAACCACCATGTACCATTTGGACCGCCCCATGTACTTGTTAGGTTATCTTGCTAGCCAAAGTCGGGTGTATCTTATTGATAAAGAATTCAAGTAAGTGGTTCTCAGAGGTTTCTGGAGTTCAGTGAGTCATATTTTGACAATGGACCTTCATCGGCTAATTATTTGGTCATTCTATGCAGCGTTATTGGATACACTTTACTTCTCAGCTTGATTGAGTACAAGACTCTTGTCATGCGCGGTGACTTAGAAAGGGCCAATGAAATCTTACCGTCAATTCCTAAAGATCAGTACAATAAGTAAGTATCCTGGTTGTTGCATCAGACTAACTACCTAACTAGTATTGTGTGGCTCATAAATGTTTGACCGAATATTTTTGTTTCGTCAAATGTTTGATCAGAGGCATATCATCTTCTGGAGTACACTATCCTTTAAGTTTCTGTTTGAAAGTATCATGACTTCAAGCACCTTATCATTTCTGTATTGCTATCCACGTCTTCCATCTGTCTACTCTGAACTGATGAATGCTATATCTACCTCAACTTGCTTCCTCTGCTAGTGTTGCACGCTTTTTGGAATCACGAGGCATGGTGGAACATGCTCTGGATGTAGCCACTGATCCTGATTACAGATTTGAGCTAGCCATACAGCTTGGTAGATTAGAAGTTGCACAGGTATATTCAAGAGATACCGTTCTGGGCTCGCGTTGGTATTTAGAATATTTTCTCTTGATGAATAAGCTTTGAGGGGTGGTTTTCATTTTATCTTGTAGGAAATCGCATCAGAGGTGCAGAGTGAGTTGAAGTGGAAGCAGTTGGGAGAATTGGCTATGTCTAATGGCAAGGTATTGTCTCACGACCATGGCTTTAACTTGTGTATTTGAGCCTACACTTTCTGTTCCAGTAGGTTCTAGTTATCTTTCTTTTGTGTACTATATATTAGGCATCTACTAGCTATGCTGGACAGGCTGTCAATCTTGTTTGGACATTAAAATGTGAACAATATCTTTCCGCCTCCGGCAAAAGCAATCATTGACGACTTGATTACTGTCAAATTCTTCTTTCCCTCGATTTGATCTTTGGATTATAATTGTGTTGCATAGCTGGTTGGATGTAAGAGTCCTGCTCCAAAATGTCAGATATCCACTATAGCTTATTTTGCAAAGTCATGTTATTTCAGTTGGAAATGGCTGAAGAGTGCATGAGGCGGGCAATGGACTTGAGTGGACTATTGTTGCTCTATTCTTCTCTAGGAGATGCGGATGGGATTTCGAAACTTGCGGCTCTAGCAAAAGAACAGGGAAAGAAGAATGTTGCTTTCTTGTGCTTGTTCATGTTGGGTAAATTAGAAGAGTGCCTGCAGCTATTAGTGGAAAGGCAAGTACTCCAGCAACCGTTTTTAGTTGCTATGCCATTACATTCACTCTGACTGACATTCTTCTTGTAGTAATCGGATACCCGAAGCTGCTTTAATGGCTCGCTCTTATCTTCCGAGCAAGGTTTCAGAGATTGTTGCTATCTGGAGAAAAGACCTCAGCAAAGTAATTTGATTTATACTTTCATATTTATATTAGACATCAATCATTCCTATTCTTCTTTCCCTGTTTACACGTGGTGCACTTTTCCCATGCTAAATATTGACTCATATTGCATATTATTTCTATTGCTGCCTGAAGGTCAATTCAAAAGCTGCAGAATCCTTGGCGGATCCGGAGGAATATCCAAATCTGTTTGAGGATTGGCAAGTTGCATTGTCTGTGGAATCGAAATTCGGCGACATACGGTAAGAGTGATGAGCTGTTCCTGAGTAGAAATGAGCGTCTTCAATATTTGAAGGAATTCAGCTTCGTCAATACTTACTCCTAAGAGTTTTCCTTAATTGGGAGCTCTCTTGTACTCAGTCTTGTTGGATGACAATCCTTTCACAAGATCTCTCTAGAAGGTAAATTCTTTTCATTTGCTGATTTTGTGTTATTTTTTCTTCTTTTTCCCTTGTTTCTTTGTAGGGGTGTTTACGCTCCGGCAGAAGACTATATAAACCATGTTGATAAACCTAACGTTACACTTGTGGAGGCTTTTAGAAACATGCAGATTGACGAGCGTCTTGAAAATGGAGAGTACGAGCACGAGGTATGATATCCTGCAATACTGTTTGATTGCATTATGGCACTACATGTTATGGTACACATTTCAACTTCTGGTTAAGCTAACTGAATACTTTAATTTCAGGTTGGTGAAGAGCAGATAGAGGAAGAACACAACACCACCACGGAGGCAGCAACTGGAGAAGGAAGCCAACATGAAGAGGCAGTTGTGGTGGATGCTGATTCCATGGACGGTGGAGTACTCGTTAATGGGAATGAGGCCGAGGAACAGTGGGGTACGAATAATGAAGGAACCCCATCAGCCTAAAAGCAAAATTTCGTTGGGGCAGTGTGAAAAACCAATTTTTGTCTCCGGTGATTAATTGATCTAACGTGCCCATCTCTGTGTCTCCCCATTTCCTAGAGTTGTTTTTTTCTTCTTCTTCTTCTTTTTGTTGCTACTAGTGCTAACAAGTGATATGTGTTAGAGAACTCCCTGACTTTGCCCAGTTTTTGGTAGTAATCTCCAGTTCAGGATATTGTGTCTGCTCTAACTTCTACCTGGTTCACTGAGGATTCACTGTCGTGATTGAAGTCCTACTTCCATGGAAGTAATTTTGGTTCAGCCTTGTTTTGGAAGATGAGAATCCCACTTCCATGGAAGAAAGTTGTGTTCTTTTAGCACTTGATCAGATTACTTGCTAGTAATTGAACCTCTAGTGAATGAATCACGCCTATGAATTGGAGAGAAAGTCCTGCATTTGTTTGCCAATGCTCAGGCTAAAGCTTGGTTGTCTTGTCATATTACTGCAGTGTCCTTTCTCTATTCGAATCTAGCCTTCAATCGTTTTTAAGTCTCATTTGTGATTGTTGGTTTAGACATCATGATCCTCATACTTGTTTCTCTCTTTCTTTTGGCAGTACTTACACCACACGAATAGGTGCCCATCAACAACAATCATATGTTCTGATAGTAGCATTCTCACTATTAAAAGGTAAGAGACTCCTGTCCTCGAACGATGCCCTCTGAAGCGAAAAATTGGGGAATGCTCTTTGCTTGAATGATTATGGTCTCAGTGGCTGCATAAAATGGAACTATTACGCGAAATCTTAATTGTCATAAGCCCCACAGGGGAATATGATTTGGTAGCTAGCTTGTGAGATGAATCAGTCGTGCTGAGTCTTGAAACGTGATTGCTTGTCATATTGGTGCAAAACCGTAGGGGTCGTTTGGTAAGCACGTAATGTAGAATTCATGTATTTGAAGAATTCATGTATATTGTAGGTTGAGTTGTGAGAACTTGTGTAATATTAGATGCATTGTTTGGCTTGCATTAGTTCATGGTAGAACCCACATAATTTGGCATGAAATCTCAAATACTTTGGGTAAACCCAAAGCATTTGAGATATCATGGTCACATGAATTCTAGAATTACATGGTGCACCAATATCATGATATCTGTCCAAAAATGAAACAAGAAAAATAGTGAAATCACAGATATCATGTATCATGTAATCTTGAAATCTGGGTAAATTTGAACCTTGGGCGTGCAGAATATAATCTTTTTCTTTATGGTGTGTTCTTCTGATCTTCTCCAGGTTTGTTTCCAGATTTGCTTGGAAGAGCCGACTGTCATTAGATGCTGGTTGTTACAGTTGAGGCGGCTTGGCTCGTAATTACTTCGAATTTTGATAATAGGCAACATTTATAGTAATCAAACAAGATTCATAGCTTAGTTGCCCCCCGTTTTCTCCCTTCGATTTTTCATGTAGTTGTGTCCTAGGGTATTCTTTGCTGAGGCTTCTATATGTCAGTTGTGCCATTGTGAATGTAGAAAAAGATGGAGACAAATTATTTTATTTTCCATATATTTTTTTCCCTGTGATCTCTTTGCTCCTGCCCTGATGACTGGTTTTATAGAAATTCCTGGGTGTATGCTTCTTTTCTTCTTCCAGTTAAATGGTTGTTGAGGCAGTTTTGATATGCTGAGAACTTTTACTGGTGTCTCTATGTTTTGAGAACTGGCGTAATTTGATCTTTATGGTTCAACGTAGAAAATTTTTATCTACCCATTCCTAATGGAAAATTCGCTGTTCCAGCAGAAAGTAGTTATGTAGGGAAGGGCAGATGAGCCATAACATCCTCGCAGTTGCAGACCTGAAACATGAAAACAAACACAGTCCGCAAGTGCACAACAATCACAGGACATAAAAGTACAACTTTAGATTGTACCATAAAGGGATTTTACAAAAAAGTATAGGCACAACTTAAAATTATATCATAACGTTAAACGTACAACTTCAAGTTGTACCATAAAAGAAAAATCTAAAGTAACAATGCTTTAAAGCATTGAAAAATTCCTCCGTCATTGTATAGTCGGTTAACCAGATAATCGTTAAGCAAGTGATTCGACAAGGTTGTACCAACACTAATAAGTAACTAATCAACATAAGACCTTCTCAATTGTGCATTTTTGTAGATTTTTCTACATACTTATGTACAGGGGTGTACATGGGTCGGGTGGTCTGTGTTTAGGCATTTTAATCACCCGACCCATACACTACGGTTTGGGAAATATTAAACCCAACCCTCCCAAAAAAAAAAAAAAAACCCTACGGTTTGTTTCTAATTGGGTTGGGTCGGATTGGCGATATTTTTAAGTAAAAACCCAACACAAAATATGTAATTATTCTACACCATAAAAATATTTTATAACTAATTAAAATTTCAAACGAATAAACCGAGGTGAAATGTATCAAAATTCACAAATGTTTGAATTTTAATAAAATATGATTTACTTCAATATATGTGTAGTTTTTTTTCATGGCATTTGTTGAAATAGACTAAAAAGGTTATAAACGAACGCATCCATAATATGTTATACTATTAAAATTGTACACAAGAAAAATGATTACGTGAATAATTCATATCTATATTAAATTTATGTCTAAACTTAAAGTCCAAGAAAGCATTAGATTAGAGAGACCATCAGAGAAAAACATGGCGAAATATCTTAATTTTCTCATAAGTATGGTTATATACGACATAGATATTTTTTGGATACGAACTCATACCAATAGTTGGAACACGGGTTGGGTTCCACGGGTTGTAATCCAAAATCCAAACCCAGTCCTAAAGAGGCCGGTTGTACAAAAGAAAACCCTCACCCAACCCAATACCTTCGTTTTAGCGATAAATACGGGTGAGTTGGGTTGGATTGGAAGGGTGGGTCGGTTTGTGGGTGTGTTTGTTCAGCCCTACGTATGTGTTCTTTTTTTAAGTTGTTATCATTGAATAAAAAATAATTCAACAAAGATATCAATCTATAGTCAATTCAATCTAACACAACTACACAAGTACACAATAACACAATTCTACCATCAAATTTTATTAAAGTAGCAGACAAGAATACAAGATCCAACAACAATTACCTAACTCATAAACTCCACCAAAATTACATAAAAGCTACCTAACTCATAAACTCCACCAAAATTTCACAAAAGTTTGAATGTTTGTGATTGTTGTTGAGGCAAGTCCAACTTTTTACTATGCTCTATCTAAAGCCCTTCATTGAATTATTCTCACCTAAGCCACTATTACAATCAAAGTAGCCAAGAGATCTAACAAGCCTTCAGACATCTCCTAGTTTTCAACCCTAACTATGACAATGATCGTCATCATTGGTTAGTTATTAGCTAAATTTAACCACCGAAAACCAAACATTTTTTGTTCAATTGGTTATCAATATAACCATAAACCACCAATTTCGATTCAATTATCAGCTACCGTTAACAAGATAACCATTTATTAGCACTGAATTCGATCCAATGTCATTTGTCAAAAAAAAAAAAAAAAAAAAAAAAGAATTCGATCCAATGTTGAGGTTTATCACGTTTGCTTGTACTGGTGCTTTTTTCCTGTCATGTCATTGAGTTTGATATAGTGATGATTTGCACTCATTTTACCCCGATTTCTATCTGACTTTTGACAAGAGCAATGAAGAATTCCTATTGGCATAGACCATCATAATAATTCTACTGCAATACTGACGAGTATACAAAATCTTCTGTCGGGCTATTTCGCTTGTGATTTTACGTCTGCATGGGCTGAGCAGTAAAGGGTTTAAAATTGAATCCTTAAAGGTGCAATGGACCTTTGCTTTCTGTCTCCAAAGAGGCCATCCAGAGCCACTGTCCATGTAGAAGAAGCAATAATCAATCCTGATTTCTTCAACCTTTGCTGCTATGCATGTACATCTTTTCTCCTCTGCCTAACTGTTAGCTCATCTTCTCTTTATCCTGAGGTGACTTCTGGATCAACTCTCCCTTTCACTAAAGCTGGACTAACTCGGACGTTCGACCCACTCCTTTAGGCATTTTCTTTGATGCCGCTGCCAAATTCATTCACAAAAAGTTTTGAGTTTCGATGAATGGATGAATGGAAAGAAAAACAGGAGAGAGAGAGAGAGAGAGATCGTACGATCTTCGACATCCTTGAGCTGATAATAGTGTGGCGCTATTTCTACCAGCCAATCTGGCTTCAGTTCTGTCACCTGCATTTCATGGTTCCCAGATTTAGTTACACAGAAGCTCAAACTCAAAATGCACAAAAATCGGGTTTTAGCACTGAGTGTATTATCAATTTTTAAGTGCTACAAAGAAGATACTTGCCTGCCTCATGTACTCTTTGGTTGTAAGCACCAACTCATGATATACAACCCATCTTGGCAGAACCTGAATAACATGAGCAAAGCGGTGGTTGTGATTAGGAACACAGCCTCTTACCTCCAATTACCATAGTGATAATACGAAAATAAATATCCCAAGTTCAGAATGTATTTTTACCCAAACCAATGGATACCATATGGCCATCTCATTAGTCATTACTTCATATGATATAAGCACTATAACACCCGACTGAATACAACCAATTTCCAAGACAATAAAGGCATTGCTACAAAACTTGACACATACTCAACACCTTCTAAATGAGGTCTTAAGAAGCTAGAGATTCATGTGAGAGAAATACCTACCACAAGACATTACAACTTCCTGGGCTTCTTTACACTAGTCAAACTTCAGTAGATGCTGGTTCTAAACTAAGATCAAAATCACAATTCACACCACGTTTTTATGCAACTATAAACATTCTAGTTCTGAGAATTTTCCTAGTCCATTTGGAAGTATTTGAAAACAAGCAGTAGCTTGCAACTCTTGTGGTGACACATGAAAACATTAAGATAGCTACACTAGTTTACAAGCGAAGCGAAGGGATAATGTTGATACCTGAGCCAACCCTGAGCTAGGGTGTATATGAACAGTCTGGGGATGTTTCACAGTTCGATAAGAACCATTCTTTTGCAGCCGTGCAGAATGAGGAAAGAAACCTGAAAATAGCACCAAATTCGAACTTAGAGCTGCGTATTACGATAAAAAATTCATAATTCCTGGTCACTGACATTTGCACATGCATACATACCAGATGTTATTGACTTCTTCACTGCATCCAACTCATTGGGACTGGAAGAGAGCTCAATTTCAACCCTCTCCAGAAGGCCCTCCAACTGGTCCCTAATGTCCCTTGCTCTTTTCATGCTCCTTACCTGAAGGACATAGTAATACTTTTAGTTTAGGGTATATAAGAAAAACTAAATACTCTAGGTACTGGGAAGCTCAGAAGCATCAAAATAACAATGGTGGCCTATATATCAAAATTGAAAAAACCAAATATCTACTGGCAAAAACTGACACAGAAACAGAAGCCATGTTAAAACAGGGCACACTTGGACGGTCCATTCACTTCACTGATAAGGTCAAGTGCCAAATAGAGTCTCAGCATGAGAGCTCAATAACTGTATTCCTTCATAAGATTTACTCAGCTACATTGTCTGATTTTGGCAAGCAACGGACAAGGGGTTGTCTTTGATGGTAAAGATCCTCAAGATTCTCCAAGGTCAAGACTCAAGGAACTCGGAAGAAGGGTTTTGACAGATGAGGGTTCCTCAGGAAGACAACGTTACAAGGCCTCTTGTGTAACACAGAAAAAAGGGGGCAAAGAATTTGGACCAGAAATACCACTAATAATGAAGACTTAAAGAGATGAAACCACAGTTCCCTTTTTTCTTATGAATGAAGAATTTGCATTAGCAAATTAAGCACTCATATATGAGTTCACAGTTATTAACAAAAGGAGAAAAAAGTGGAAATAGGCAGCCTCTCAGATGCTTCTATCTTAATTTAAAAGGACCGACAGAAGAAGTAAAAGGAGTTTTCATGAAGGAAAAATAATTAAAAAGAAGAGGACAAGAAGTCTAAGCAAATTCTGCCAACAAACAAGTGAATGGTGAAAGTAGAATCTAAACATTGAAAAAGACAAGACATTCCAATAAACACAAAATCAATCATAATGTACTCTACCTGAATGTAATTTTCATAACACCACTGGGTAGAGAAATTTGTTTCCCTCCAAGAGTTATACACCTACAGAGAAGGATAACATAAATAGTTCAAGGAAACAATTCAGAAATCATACTGCAACATAAACAGGGAGCCCACGATAAGGAATATACAACCAGAGTGCTCCCATACGACCAACCTTGAGTAGAGCCATGTGGTCTCCTACATTTCCCGTGTGAAAATTCATTCTCGCATTGTCAGCGTGCACTTGTTTGTCCTTGGGACGATAAAAGATAGAGTTTCCAATTGACAACATAGCAGCAATAGAAATGATCTCATCTGAACATTTGTACTTGTCAGAAGCAACTATCATTTTGGCTTGCATAGGATCAAGTGGAAACTCAGCCATCCTTCTACCGACCTTTGTCAGTTCACCATGCTTATTCAGAGCATTTAGAGCAAAGAGTAACTCTAGAGCTTTTAATAATGCCTCAGATGGTGGTGGATCCATGAAATCAAAATTCAATAAATCATGAATGCCAAGACTCTTCAAAGATAGCACAACACTTGCCAGATTAGTCCTTTGTATCTCAGGTACTGTGTTATCATCCAAGTCATGGTGATAATTGTAAGCTGTGTACAACCGAAAGCACATCCCGGGACCTGTTCGGCCAGAACGACCTGCACGTTGCATAGCTGAGGCCTTTGATACGGGAGTCACAAGCAAAGACTCCATTCCAGTTCTAGGGTTGTATGATTTCATCTTACAAAACCCAGGATCAATAACATACTTGATGCCATCAATGGTTAGAGATGTTTCAGCAATGTTTGTAGCAAGGACAACCTTCCGTGCACCTTCAGGAGTGGGCTCGAATATTTTGGCCTGAAGCTCTGTCGGTAAGTTTGCATAGATAGGACAAATAATAAGCTCAGCAATTTTAGTCCCTAAACCTTTTGTCCTGTGTTTCAAAGTTTCCTCGGCTGTCTCAATTTCCTCCTGACCAGTAAAGAAGACTAATATATCTCCAGGTGACTGTGTCACATGGATCTGAAGCACTGTTACTATTGCAGCATCCAGATAGTCAGCTTCAGGCGCTCTTGTGTAGTGTATCTCGACAGGGTACCTCCTACCAGGAATCTTGAAAATCGGAGCCGAGTCAAAGTAATCGCTAAATTTCTCAGCGTCCAGCGTTGCGCTTGAGATCAGTAGCTTTAAATCTGGTCGAAAACGTGATATATCCTGTCACACAAAACAAGCCATGGTAAATGCATATGGAAGGGACTGTGAATGCTAAACGATAATTTCGCTTGTAGTAAAACCAAAAATAATAAGGAATCCACTTGCCTTCACCAGTCCAAATAGTATGTCAGTCGACAAAGTTCTTTCATGTGCTTCATCCACCATGATCACGCTAAACACAACATAATAAGAAAAGTAAGGGCTGATCAATGATATGCTTGTGAACATTGGAAAAATGAGGTTTTTGAACAAGGATATTAACTGACCTATAGCTAGCCAGATCGGGTTCGCCGAGGAATTCTCTCAGTAGCATCCCATCTGTCATATACTTAATAATAGTCTTTTCTGATGTATTATCCTCAAAACGGATGGAGTATCCCACCTGCAGAAGTTGAAAAGCAACCATCAGCTATTGAGAAGTCAAAATAGCAGCTGACACACCATTCAATAACCGAAAAAGAAAAGCAAAGATAAAAAAAACTAAGAAATCCAAAACTGAACACAAACCTCGTGTCCAAGTTTGACACCCATCTCTTGAGAAACCCTAGCAGCCACACTCATAGCTGCAACTCGCCTTGGTTGCGTGCAACCAACCTGGGTAAAAGGGCATGATTATATATCGGAAATGTTCAGCACTGTCTGATTCCACAGCTCTTAAATTCTATCCCCGTACTGTGGAAACTTTTTGTATTCATAAGCAGGTTATGAGATTAATGTAGAAACAAGTACCAATTTCAAGTGGCATGACAGTAACAAGTCCAATGACACCCCACACTCTGGCCCATACTAGTTTATTATGTCAGAGGACATTAGAGGTGGTCTTTGAGATCTACAATCATGCTCAAAGTTCAAAGAATTAACCCAAAATGCATTTCACTCCGAGCACTACAGCCTGGTCAAGGATTTGCACATACAAGCCTGGTAGAGTGCCCATTAGACGCTACCAGTACATGTATTATAATACAGGAAGGTAGATTTTTGGGTAACGCAATCAATGCTCTTCAGCTAAGTAGAAAGAAACTCTTTATTTTTCAACGTGTAGTTACCACAGGGCCTCAGTCTACATGACAGGGTAACTCTCCCATCCAAACCCCTACCAAGATACGGAGACTCAATCCCCAACCTCAAGGGTCAAGGACTAGTGTTCACTGTTTCATCAGCTATATTAAAAATAACATAATAGAGAATAGTAACAACTGAATGAAGAGCGAATTCTTAGAGAGCACATGGTAAGAAATAAGTACCTTTCCAAGCTTGGTATATCCGGCTTCATGCAGATACTGGGGTATCTGTGTGGTCTTCCCTGAACCAGTCTCTCCTACTATAACAAGAACCTAAAACAGAATTTGGAGCCCAATAAGAATCTAATTCCACAATCTCATCAAGGACACTTGACTAGACAAAATGAAACAGCATATCACAAACAAACACTCTATTCGGGGATTCTACCAAGCGATGGTCAAAAGAAGGGATCATACTCGGCCATGTCTCCAGCAAGTAAAAGTTTCAAGGTTTCAGGATGTCAAGTTCCCATGTACAGCCAGCAGTAGCTCTTAATGATGGCCATACACAACTTAATAGAAAAACTTACATCGCCAAGCTCATCAAAGGAAATCTAAGTAGTATTGCAAATGAGGCACATGAGCAAGTATTATATGTACACTTCAGGACACTTGTTGGGAGTTCTGAGGTAATGAATTCATACCAAACAAGCACTTTACAAAAAGGAAACTATTGAATCTGAATACCCATTTTCAACACTGGAGAAACTAAGGGAATTGCTTTCCGTGAGATATAGATCCATTGTATTTCTGGAACCCAAAACAGCAAGAGTATGCCAAGAAGCAGTTTCACCAAACGGATTTTATCCCAACGATGCTCAAAATCTTATAGCAGAATGTCGGATGAACAGTAATAAATGACCTATGGCATGTGTTGAGAACTAAATACATAAATTTGGGTAAGGCCAAAAAACAGTGTGATCTGATATCAAACGTAGGCACAAAATGAAGCAACAGTACCAGCTCTATGCAAAAGAAAAGGAAACAAAACCTGATAATCTTTGACGGCTTGGAGTAGTTGTTCTCGATATGGATATATGGGTAAGGTTTTCCTATCCTCCTGAACACAAGAAAAGGTATGCAAATGGTCAGAGTAATGCCTCACCAGCAATAATATCAAATTCCATCAGAAGTACATTTTCTTATGCTTCCTAAAGAACATTTCTTCAAGGAAGAAAACGCCTCCAGTGAAACTTTGTGTATATCAGTACGGACACGTCTGTAATTTTCACCCTATTTCTTAAGCTACTGTAGCTGCATGGCAACTGCCGGAGCATAAAAGTCACAAAGTAAACCAACAGTGACGTGATGGTTCTAGAGTTCCACTTATCCAATAGCAGACAACAATTCCAAGAAATGTTAACAAATTCGAAAGACAAATTGGTAAAGTAGGAAAACCATTTTGAATATTGTATCCAAGTAGAATCTCTGATTTAATGCATTGCAATTGATAAACTAAAGATGGATAGTCATAGTTAAAATTTTGCATTATAGTAAATAGCTTTCACCAATGCACAAAGAGGGGTTTGGTTATGGTGTTGATACCATTTCCGTAAGGATCTCTAAACAACCTTCTTCCCCGTTTCCCCGTTTTTTCAGATATTTCGGCCACAAAATTTTTTTAACCTTATTCTTTACAATCTAACAAAACAAATATTGGGAATTTTTTTACACGTTTTTTTTAGATATTTTTGCAGGAGTATTTCCAACACCAGACGAATGAGTAGTCACTCCCCTTCATGTGAATACCTTTTGCCAGCATTGTGAATACTCCTCGAAAACGTGGAAAAAGAATATATATATCAACATTTGTTAGATTGTAAAAAATAAATTAAAATAAGTTTACTCAAATAATTTCATAAAAAAAACTTTTGAAGCTGTTAAGGAACGGGATTGTTAGGATATCCTTGCAAATAATGCTGTCATGTTCATAACCAAATCCGCACAAGGAACCTTTAACTTGCTACAAAAACCAAAGATGCAAAGCATTTATCCATGCACAAGAAACTAGTATCATTAATAAAGTCAATTTCTGAGCAAACGAGGATGTTAACCCGCTTTTCCTCTAAAGGGTACAGGTAGAGAATATGGAAGCCTAACCTGGAGCTTCTCCAAACCTGTTTTAGCCTCCAATTCCTCAAGTGCATCCGGCGAGAGATCATTATCAAACTGCATAGAAAACCAAATTACCTGAGAAGAACGTATTGATATTGAAAGCAATGGTCCATTATCAAACAAGATAATCAGCGTACTTTGTCACCATCCATTACTGATGCCTTGATAAAATCAATCTGGTCCTCAAACACAAACCTGAATAAATGCACAGAGCACATAGCAACTGTGTCAACATAAGCATTTAGTTTCAACATCGAACAGCAATATGAACTTTAAAATACTAGGTACTGTGTAGAAGTGGTGACTCCAAAGAACAGAAATCAATATACATGGAAAGTCGTACAAGCTTTCATACTCTCAAATCAAGCTTTCATATTTTCAATGATTTGGGAGCAAAGAGAGAGACTTCAGAAAAGGTGACCCAAGTCCCAACCCATATAAAATATTGTTATTCAGTGAGACCAATGTGTCAGCCTAACACTCATCTGCATGCTAATGCCAACAAATTACTCATGCGGAATTCCATTGATCGAAGACCAACAATACCAGCTGTGTTTTTCAAAAGAAAACAGGGACAACTAAAACTTACTGATAATCATCAGATGCCTGCTTTTTATTTTTCGAACCAAAACTCAGTTTTGCTTTTCCTGCAAGCATAAATTTCCCAATCAGAACCTCTTATGCCAGACTTAACGAATCACTCAGCATTAGAGTAGCTACATTCTAATAATCTTTCAGGAACCCACCGATTTGATGATCTTCCCAAGCATCTTGTTCTCCATGAGGGTTCATTTTCTCTGCAGCACCATCATCCCTATCGCGCAGATAATGAACGAAATAGTTTGGTAAGATGCAGATCATGCAGCCAGTTAAGAACTTTGACTCCGTCATTTCATATGCTGCTAGCAATAAAAACACCTTTCGGTATTACCTGTATCGCTGGATAGCAACAGCAAATCTCTTATCTTGATTAACACCACCTTCCTGATCGTATGCTTCTGGCATCCTGTACTGCACTCCAGAAAATGAAACATTAAAATGATGAAACCAATTGGAAAAACCAAGTAACTACAACACATTAACCAAAACATAAGACAACAGCTTCTGTTTCCCAGCACAAGTTTTTCAGCCAGAGAAAGGGTACGGCCAACTCTAACAAGTCAAACAAATTTCCAGGGACGAAACAAACGGCAACATGCAACCAAGCATCCCCTAGCAACTAATGAAGAAAAATATATATCTGGCTTTCAACAAAGCAACTGATACTTTTCCTCATGCAAAACGCAGAATGTACAAAATCAACTACCACCTTTGCCAATAAATGAAGCTAGATTGTCAATGACAACAAACCGACAAACCAGTACAACCAAGAAACCACTGACAGCTAAGTGGGCACACTGGTCCAACAAGATCCAGAGGAAGTAGTCATTCAGTACCTCATTTATGTCATCAGGCTGTACTGACTTCTCTAAAAGCTTGACAAGTTCCACATTGTTTCTGTCATGAAAATAATAAAGATATCAATTACCCACACAAAACTGATTCTATAGAACTCCAAGCAGAGTATGTTTCTTATTCACATTATAAGATTCGAAGAATGATAATCAACAGTATGTTCAGTTGCACTCAAAATATGAGATCTTGTTTAAGATACATAATAATGATATGCCAAACATAAGTGATCCTACAAGAATCAAACCATTGAATGGTTCTAATGCACATTGGGAGAAGAAAAGAATACTGATCAACAACATCTTCAGTTGATGGACTCATTTAAGATATTTTTTGCCAATATGCACATAATGCAAATGGCACCAGAACCGAACAAAATATCATAAGATAAACAGTGTTGCAAATTACTATATATTCTTCTCACACCAGAGGTCCATAACCAAATACAAATTGAATGAGAACATATGCATTAATGGCCAGAAAATCGGGCCAAGTTCAATTAATTCCCCTTTTACAAAAACCAATTGGTTAGAAAGCAACAATTACCATAATAGATGCTAAGCTTCATTGAAGAAATATACTCATGAATTATGATAAGGAATCAGTCTATTACCTTTGTTTTTTATATTCTCGTTCGGTGAGCTTCACACCATCAAACATATATAGCTCATCTAATACCTCATCCCTGCAAAATTGAGACAGAAGCTAGTCATATCAACAAGCACACATTCTAGTCCAGCATTTTAAGAACCCATGCTTTAAAGAACAACACAAACAACAAAGAACATCAAGTTCAAATCTAAGACTGACATTTTCCCATTTCTTTTCCGTATACTATCATGATAATCAGCAAGACTAAATGGTTGGCCTAATCATAATGGAGGATAAAATCATTAAGTTGAAACCCTTGGGGAAAGTATTAGGAAAAATAATCTATAAGCAGCACCACTAAGTTGGTAGTTAGTGATATATGGTAGCACAATACCGAAGTTCTTCCACTTTTTTCTGCTCCCTTTTCTTTAGATACTCCTGTCTGGACACCTTTCTGTGGGAACAAACATTAGAACAATGGGAAAAGTATTAACATCGTTATCAGTGCATAAACCGGGAGAAGCAGTGGTAACAGATTCACAAATGAAACCTTAAAGTATCAATGCCATCATTCTCCAATGCATTCGCTCTGCGAATCATCTCACCTGTTACATAATACAGAGGCCAGTAAGAAATGGTACTTTTTGATAACCAGCATCTTATACGGATATGTACATGATAGGTAAGCTTCATACCTTCCTCCTTTTTTGATAACTTTGGCTCTGCCAACTGTTACAATTGGGTTAAAGAGCATTAGCCAAACTAGAAACTGAACTGAACCACATTTTTGTGTTAAAGAGCATATTGTATTAGAAGTAACACAAAAATAAAGCTATAGCCCAATTAAAGGAGGGGGTGGAGTACAGGTTCGTGAAGGATTACAGCTATAGAAACCTAGGACAAGCTGAAGTTATAAGGATCTCAAGTTTGCTGATATGGAGCAATCCAAGGCCCCAAATTGGTGACATATATGGCCAACTGATCTTATCTTCTACCAATAACCTGAGAAAACTATATAACAAGCATAACGAACTTCAAGAGAAAAATATGATACATTGACATTTGAATTCTAGGATTAAGGCCTCTCCAGGTTTTGGTTAGGAGGGTCTCGGGTTATACACCACGATAAAACAAAATAAATCTTATTCCCGTGGAACTTCGAAATGAAGATGCTTTTGTAATAATAAAACAGTATACAAGGTTGAAAGACTCCAACTATGCCGCATGCAATTAAAATGCCAAACTACATCTTTAAAGCTAATTTGTGTACCTTTCTGGTTGCTGCAGCATCACGTTCTCTTAAATTTCGCTCCAATTGCTCACGTTCCATTTGATCCCGCAATATTTCTTCATCTGACTGTATAGCCAGAAGAGACAAGAAAGTTTAAATCATAGATTTAGAGAAGAAAATAATAAGGTAAAAATAATGAACAGCTCGAAAGTGATCACTGTAGAAAATAATTTACGATAGCATTAAGGAACTTCAGCAAAAACAAGCTTCCAACAGGAGCACTTAAGAGATTCAAGTTTCTTTATTGTATCACGAGAATCTGAACTTGAACTAAAGTAACATAGCAATATCATCAACCAATAAGACAAGGAAGCTTGCTGATAAACAAACACCAAGCCAATGTCAAAGAACAGTACCTCTGAACCATCATCTTCATCATCAGAAATCCGTCTCTTCACTCGCCTCCCTTCTTCCACATGTTTGACCATCTGCAGCATCAGATCAAGCCATACCAACAAATAACCACATCAGAATCCACGCTAACCAGAAACCGACCATATCATCAAACAAACTTGAGCGTTCTGTCGATGGGAAAATGAACACCGTGCCTCGGTCTCTTCATCATCATTATTATCACTCTTTTTCCTAAAGCGCTTCTTATCTGCCCTTCTGGTCTCCATAGTCAGTTTACTTGTTGTGGCAGTAACATTACTAGCACTGCGATCATCGTCCTCATCATCAGCATCCAAAAGCGTATACATCTGCTGCTTCTTGGCCAATATTGCAGCTTCCCGTTCTTGTTTTTGGTAGACCTGCGCAGAAAAGTTAGGACACTTAAACTGGCAAAAACTAATGAAGAATCACTTAAAGGGTAAAATCTCCTTTGACAAGCATAAGCATCAAGGAATGTAACATACAGAACTCACATTTAAACCAGAAGCTTTTCGTGGAACTCTAGCAAAGATTTCTTCAGCAAACGTGCTCGTTTCTGCTGAAGATGGTAAATCCAACTCCACTAGTTTGCCAAATAACTCAGCTGGTGATTTTGCTTCCTTAGCTGCAACAAACAAAAAATGCCTACGATATTATGCTACACAAAGAGAAACCGTCAAAGCCTCTAAACTATTTTCCATCCTTAAGTCACTGAGCACAAAGGGTGAATCATGCCACCACCAAATAGTAGATGCAGCCCACAAAGATTTGTTCACCATATAAAAGGAACGGAAACTCACTGAATGCAATTATGTACTGAACGACTGCGCCTTGTGAGTATCCCAACATTGATATAAGCCTATCCGATACCCACGTCTTCAAATTGGCATCACCCATGTTGTCTGCATCAAATCGGATAACAATGTGAGGGCCTATGCATGTAATGCACAGGGTCTAGACAAGACCAGGCATGAGCTGAACAACACCAAATACAAGGTTTCGCCAATGCAGAGGTCACAAACACGGAAGGTAAACTAACAAACAATTCTGCGAACAGCCAGCTACCAATTAGGTTAAACTTGGCAAACACCTCTACTTAAGCAAACATATCAACTTCCGACGCATAGATTGAGCAAGGCGGACAAAAACCAATTTCAGTCTCCTAACAAGGCTGAATGCCTTGGATAGAGCAAGGCAGCTCTTGCGCACAATTTGCGCCGGTGCAACGGCTTTCTTTATGCGGGATAGAAATCACAAATTCGATTTCTCAACCGCGCGAAGGCTTAGACCGTACTAAAAGGAGGAACAGAACAGTGAGAAAATCTATAACCCCTAAAACCATATTTAAAACCACAAAGAAGGGCGGAACCAGAATAAATGCATCGTACCAGCTTCTGCCTTGACCAATGCCTTCTTCCTCTTCAGCGGGTACTACTGCTTCCGAAAGTTGCTGGACGCAATAATTCTGATTTCGGAGACCTTTTTCAGTGGACAAGTTTGGTCGGAGCAGTTCTTTGCTTTTCGCCGCCTTCGAGATCGTCGCCGACGGGGAGTAGGGGTTTGGTAATCTTTCCCTCTTGAATTTGAAACAAGGTGGTACCGACTTACAGCCTGAATTCGCAATTTCCGATTAAATGCGGCAGGGCGAGCCTCCATCTACATGGAAAATAAGGCGGACCGTATTTGGCAAAAGGTTGTCAAATCGGTTTAATGTCGGTTGGGAAGTGTATGGTTCGACCGGAGATACAATCGATTTACCAATTTATATTGAATTTAGGCTCAAAATAGGATGCATAACCATCAAGATAGGGTGCATAACCCATGGTTATACACCCATCAATAACCAGATCTGGACCGTTCATTTAGAAAATCTAGATCTAAGGATGGAGAATTAAAGATCATTTTTATTTTCCCTAGTTTTCTTAATTGACTCATATTTTTTTCGTTTTAACTCGGATTTTAAATTTTTTTGCACAGATGGAACGAGTTCATCGGCTCTACAAAATGAAATCAATTTTCAATATTTTTTTAGAAAAAAAAATTCTGGCCTCTCGGTACCAACTACATACCATATGGTATCTTCTTCCTTTTTAATTCGTTTTTGAAAACGTTTGCACAGCAGGGACGAGTTCATCATGATCTATTGTATCTAGAAATTTCTGGGTGAACAAATTACATGACCAAAAAATACCACACAATACCATACAATACCACCCTGGTACGGGGTGGTATCTTATGGTATACAATGTTAAAAGTCGTAAATGACAATTAATATACTTCTACTATCATGTATTCAACCATCCTACAGTTTTGGTTTGTGTCATACCACCATGGTACGCTTTTCAAACCATAGGTATGCTCTTATTTCAATACCAGTCAATACCATATGGTATAGACTGGTAAAAATGGCTCAATTTTTTTTTTGTTCGAAAAATATATCAAAGTGGATATCATTTTGAAGAGCACAATTAATCTGTTCTAACTGTGCAAAAAAAAATTAAATTTCGACTTAAAACGAGTGAGAAATCGTCCGTCAAAGATTAAAGAGGGGAAAATTAAAGGCTTTCCAGAAGAGAGAGGATGCTGATGTCTTGCTGATGAGGACGGGTTACTCATGGTTACTCACCATAAAGTTACTGACCTGATCTGTTCCCTTGGATTTAGCATAATAGGTAAGGAAGAAAGAAAAAAAAATCAGACTTTAGGGATATATAATATATTTGAAGATAATCCTCTAAGATCTACATCTACATCCATATTTATATAATATAATATACAATATTACAGACAAAATAAAATTAAAGTACAATGTTTAACGCTAACATCCAAAAGTTTATACTTGAACCAACAAATAACATAAATATCTAAACATTCATACTTGAATCGGCAAATAACATCAACATTTAACTTTCAAATTAAAGAACCAAATTATAAAATTTTATCAATTAGATTCACCAAAACGACATCATTTTCTTAAGGCCAGAAATCAATTATGTCAATCATACCGGAGACATTCCAACCACTTTTGTAATTGATATCGATCGTATCGGGGCATTCCGCCTAATTATGTAATCAACCACAAAATAAGTACACATTACCAACTACTCAGCCTCTCTCTCTCTCTATATATATATATATATACCCATATACGGAGACGACTAGTATGCTCTCGATGATCTGACCGTTCGATTTAAATGGATTAGCTCCGGCCAATCTCAACGGTCAATTTTTCTTTTCTCTTAAATTGAACTTTGGGTTTGGGATTAGAAAATCGGAGCCTGGGGTTTATCCATTTGAGGTTAGAGTATAGTATAATATCCAAAACTCGGTTTAATTCATGGTCTAAATGGAGATATCTCACTATGAGTACATGAAGCATAGTATGTTCTAGGAGCACACGAGTCTGACCCATATATATCTATTTATCTACAAAATATATAAAGGGATTTCTCAGTAGAAGTATAGAACTCTTATCCACACTAGCCTCTCCGATTTCCCCGCATCTTTCGATGTTTATTTTTTCCTTTTTTCTTTAAAAATTTAAAATATTACCACATATATAGTGATATAAAAACCTATTTACAAGGATATTATGATGGGGAGGTCACGCGCCTTCTAAGCAAAAGTGAGATAATTTAGCTCAGCTTGTCAGGTGTAGCTGATTTCTATTCTGACAAAAGACTTACAACTAAGTTTCATAGCTTTGAGTCAGCTATCCCAGTCACGATTTTCCTACCTCCAGAGGGAAAGGTCCTCCCTTTTTGGCCAGTTGTGGGCGAGGAGGGATTAGAACCCCCAACACCGTGATTCATAGCCACATCCCACATGCTCTAATCCCCTTTTCATTCATTGATAACCAGAGTCATTATTTGATTAATGATCACTATGAGTGAGACTCGATATAATTTGATCAATCTTTTTTTTTGTCGTTAAGGTCGAAAAGTAAATAAATTAAGCTCGGCTCGTGAGGTACCGCGAGCATGACCACGAAAGGCGACGACGACAATCTCTCTAGCATGACCATCACTTGCTCTTCCGATCACGATTCCAGTGGCGAGGAGTAAGCCTTCGCCGCAGGGTCTATTTGGTCGTGGAGGTAGACGAAAAAGAAAGGATGTGTGGTGTTATACATACTAAGAAATTATTTCACTCAATTCGCGCGAGCTGAGCTAAATTTATTTACTTTTCGCTCAGCTCGCGTGCCACCTCACTAGCTAAACTAAATTGGGACTCCGATCAAAACAAACAAAAGGTTTTTGGGTTTTGGTTGTTACCACCCATAATTGGGCCTGCACATTATATTGTGTATTTTATCAAGTAATCAGGCCATCACCGCGTGGGACGTCAGCGGTGAATGGCCAGGAACCATTCACCGCATTCAACGATCGCGGTGAAGTGTTCATTGCTATTAACAATCGTGGTGATACTGTTCATCGAGTCTAATGGCTGCGGTGAAGTCCAAACATGTGTAGATTGGGAATATTTTTTATAACATATGTATTTTGAGAATTTTTATTAATAACATGTGTATTATGGGATTTTTCCTCAATACCATGTGGTATTAAATAGGAGCATACCATATGTTAAGAAAGTGTACCATGATGGTATGAACATACCAAGACTATAGGAAGGTTGAATACATGACAGTAGGAGTATACTAACTGTCATTTACTACTTTCATCATTGTTTAACACAAGTTACCACCCTCATACCAGAGTGGTAAAGTATGGTAATTTTTGCTCCTTTAATTTTTTCACTGACTCGCACGAAACTACACCACAATAAAATCCGGACTAGATTTCAAGTTTGTAAACTCTAGCTGGGTGCTGTATAGAGCAAGTATTTAGATATCAACCCGGGCCGGTCCGTCTACCCCTACTTCAATTGTTGAAATCATTATCTAGCAACAAACTTTTGGTGTGAAAGTTTGCTAATTATAATAAAATAAAGCAAAGGTAAATGGGTTTGAAAACTCTTTTGTGGAAGGATCACTCGGGTGCCGCTTCCCCCTAACTACTACCATGATATGTGAATTGGAACGATTGCTTTCGGGCAAGGTAATCGCGAACCGCAGAGGGATTTATATATGGTAAGAGACCACAATCTCAATTGCTAAGCCGAGGTAAACATTAAAGGTCGTGTCACTCGACCCTCTCGGTTTAGGAAATCGGTAATTGACTTACTCCCTCACTCAACTCAAAGGTCGGACGACTTAATCATGATTAACCGATTTGCTTAATTCAAAACTGAGAGTTGCCCTAAATTAACCTTGTTAGGTGGCTTAGAATGCTGAAAGAAAACCAACTCGATTGAGTCTCCCTTGGAAGGGGGATTTTCCTCTCCAAGCTAGGTTAAGGTGGCTAATTAGATTGCTAGCACCAACATGCACAAACCTAAGGGTGCTAAGCACAATTATGCACAATCCTTAGGTTGCTAAGCACCAAAATGCACAAACCTAAGGATGCTAAGCACAAAACATGCACAACCCCTAGGTTGCTGAGCACAAGCATGCACAATCAATCATGAAAAATACCTCAATCATTGAATTAAACAATACCCAATGACAATCATTCAATTCACATAAAATAAACTACATGGTAGCAATGTAGTCAAAATCCCGATTTTAATCTTAAAATCTTACGATTTTACGATCTTACCTATGGGTTCCGATCCTGATTTTACTGTAAAATCTTTGAACCTTAAAATCCCATAAAATCCCGATTTAAAACTCTAAAATCCATAAAATCTACGATTTCTACGATTTTGTACGATTTCAAGGTTCATATCAATTGGATCAAAATTAGACCGGTCAAGTTGGGTTATGCCCATGAACCGTGTCAAATTTACTTTCCCCAATCCAACATAATGAACAACACAACCCCAACCTGATAGTTAAC